TATAAATGGAGATAAAAAATGAAAACCTATGAGGAGTTTTTATTTACTTATTGTAGGTATTAAATCAAAAAAACATTCATACGACTTTGAAGAGCAATAATTCAGCTTTCCAACGGATATAGTAACATCGAATTTGGAGAAAATCCTGAAGAGAACGTGAATGATAAAAAGGTTGTTGTATTCCACCAAGACAAATCTAGGCCCAACATTTTATTGGTCATTCGCAATAAATTATTGAGGCTTGGATGAGATCTTTTGCCCCATCCTCCATATTCACCATACCTTCTAGCTCCAAGTGACTACCACTTATTCCGGTCTCTGCAGAACTCCATGAAAGAAATTTCAAAAGGAAGAGGACATCAAAAACGACTTGAATCAGTTTTTTAACAATAAACTCCAGACATTCTATGAACATGGCATTATTCACTTAGTGGAAAGATGGGAAAAGTCATATTAAATAATGATCAATATAATGTAGATTAAAATAAATTTTATGACCATAATACATTGAGTTTTATTTCACCCTGAAAAACCGAAAGGACTTGTTTGCCAATCCAACACTTTTTTCTAGTTAAGCAGAATGGCAGTAAAAAGTTGATGAAGTTTTAAAAAAAAATATCAACCACTAGCTCGAACCAAGCAATTCAACAAAATTACTTGGTTTTCAATTAAATTTTTTAATAAAAACAGTGAAAAATGTATATTCTCCCAACTGTAAGTATTATCACAAACTCCAAAAGGTACCGATAAAACAGTTTATAGAGTTTTTCACGTTATATATATATATATATATATATATATATATATATATATATATATACAGGGTTTTTCAGGGTTAAGTGGCCAAACTGCAAAAATGAACTAAGGATCTTAAAACAAAAAAAAAGTTCCCTCTGAAGGTATGTCCGCAAATGCTTTGTTTAGGAGATATTCACACCTAAAAATTTTCCTTGTTATGGATTATTTACGTTATATGAAATAAATAAAAGCTATTTATTTATTCTAACTACTTTTTAATTAAATGCAAACCTTAAAATCCATATTAAATGTTCAAAGTGATTTCCTTGAGTATTAAAACAGGCTTGGCATCTTTCTTCAACAGCAGCAGTGGCAGAACGGATATGTGTTATTGTTTCACAAAATTTAATTCTCCTTCTTCGTAAAGAATTTAGGTCATTGACCGGACTTGCTTAATCATACTCCATATCCCAATCAATGGATTGGCCGTGCAGGACCAGTTGCTTGGCCTGCACGCTCAGCAGACCTGACACCACTGGATTTTTTTTGTTTAGGCTGACATTAAACAAAATGTCTATGCATGTCCGGTCAATTACCTTAATTCCTTACGAAGAAGGATAATTGAATCTTGTGAAACAATAACACATATCCAGGGCCGTAAAGATGCCTAGCCTTTCTTGATGATTAAGGAAATCATTTTGAACAACATTTAATATGAATTTTAATGTTTACATTTAATTGATAAAGTAGTTAGAACTAATAAATAGCTTTTATTTATTTCATATGACGTAAATAATTGGAAGGAAAATCATTCCCAAGAGTAGAAAAAATCAAATATCTTGGCTCCACAATATAATCAATGAGTGACCAACGAGCAGAAATAGACCAGCGTATAACTAGCGCAAACAGAGCTTTGTTCTTCCTCTCAAAGGTATTTAAATCCCGAAAATCTCAAAAAATCTCAAACTAAGGGTGTACAGTGCTATGATGAAGCTAGTTCTAATATAAACCAATCCTCCGCACGATAACCGAAGCGGTCTGGGATCAGATTACAACACCTGAAGAATAACTGACCAATCAATATCCCACGATATGAAGGCGCAGATGTTAAGATGGGCAGGGCATGTAGCTGGTAGCAATCCATCTGGAAGCCTTTTCGTAACAATGAATGCCTCAATAGAAGGCAAAAGACCACATGGAAGACCCAAAAGCAGGTGGATAGATAGAATCAACAAAGATGCAACAGAGCTGCGTGCAGATAAATGGAAAGAAATGGCCTATGACAGGCAGAGATGGAGCAGGCTTGTTAAGGCGGCAAAAGATCTACATGGTCTGTCTGTAATGCCAACAGAAAAAAAATCATAACAACGAAAATCTTTAGTTGTGAATATCTGCCAAATAAAGCATTTGCGGACATACCGTCAGAGGATTTTTTTTTCTTGTTTTGAGGTCCTTAGTTAATTTTTGGAGTTTGGCCACTTAACCCTGAAACACCCTGTGTATCTAGAACTAGTAAAGCATTGAAGCAAATGCTTTCCGAGACAGCACCTCGAATAATACTTAAATACATTCATGATCGCATTTGATTATGAACATTCATTAATGATCTCTTGTAGGAGATTTAAAATTGTGTCTTGTAATCAACCCAGATAGTTATAATAGAAATATGCTTACAAGATGGTTTATGTACTCATACTGTTACTAGTAGAGGAGATAGTTTGGCAAGTGGGCTGGTTCTGAGGATCCTTTTTGCCAACTCCTGACAGCTACATTGAGTTTTTCCCCACTTATCAAAGTAAGAGTTTAAAGATTAATTTACTGGGGGCGCCGAGAAATGAACATTTACCGACTCAGCTGGGAATCGAGCCCTCAATATTCAGAACTGGGTACTCTAGGACCCACGTCCTAAATTGCTGGGACTTAACGTCTTTATACCTTATTTAACAGACATTATAAATAAGAAAGCTACTTCTAAAATCTTCTCTGTAACTGAAAACCGAACACGAACTACAAGTTTCAAATTAGCTTTTCACAACTTCACAGTTTGTACGCTTGAAGATACTTCTATATTGGATCCACTCTCAGGTACCCAACAACAGAAGATCTTCTGGTGTACTGTGAATAGTGAAATGTCAACTAAAAGAAGTTTCACTATAATAATGGTCTAACTGAAATAGAGAATGTATTGAAGTTAAGAGGAAAATGTTCGTAAGAAAAGTAATAAACAAATTGAAAAGAAAGTAAACGTAGTAGACATTTCAAAACGTTGGAATTCCAAAATAAAATCTTAATTAAAATATATTAGCAGATGGCCTACTGAAGAAGACAAAATTTCCTTATGAATGTTGAAGCCAACTGAATATAAATATAATATGAGAAATATAAAAATAAATATTTTTTCATGTTTTATGATTTGTTTGGGTAATAAATCATTATTCTTGAGTTTACATATATTAATATGTTTAATTAAACCAAATAATAAAGAGAATAAAAAATAAAATACCAAAAAAAAAAAAAGAAAACAAAAATTCTCAAATTAAATTCTCGTTTAAATGAAGAAAAATGTTTTTTTTCTTTTTTTATTGACAAAATCAGTTTTTAAATGAAACTCTGCTGTTGGGCCTGGGGCGGACCGTCTCGTGTTGGCAGAGATCTTACAATGCATTTCTTTAATTTCATACTTAAATATATTTTACAATTTTTTTTTGTATTAAATTAGTTTTTGAAATCGAGTTACAACTGCCACCAGTTTTATTATCAACGTGTAGCCGAGTACACACTGGTGGATCCATAGAGAAGGAAGAGGGATAGGGCTTTCGTACTGGGCTGAAGCCTTCTCCAAAATAGTTAAATAATTTTTTTTTATTGGTCCATATTTGTTTCTAGGAGTGAACTGAGCTAAATAAATACTTACATAACCGTACGTTATCTATTTTAATTATAAAGAATATACAGCTACTAAATGATAGCACACATTAAGAAAACAATATTAAAAAATAACACCTTATCGATTAAATTATCCTTTTCTTGAGTAATTGCGGTTAAAAATAAAATCCCCTCTCCGCCATCGGAACTCTAATGGCAAAGGTAACTCATTTATATTTTTAAAATATGAATTCGGAAACTTAATTTCAATCATTAACTCAATGTAAACTAAATTAATTAAAATAAATCTAAATACGAAATTTAAAAAATATATAATAATTGCAAACATAAACCACTAATTTTTAAAAGTACATGTGGAAACATTTATAGTTTCTATTCCTCCTACCAGAATTAAATAACGTAAAAACATTGCACAGAATGGCAAAACCCCTAAACTCAGTCCTGAGCTCATCGATTGCATCATTTCATCCAGTTAGAGAGGAATCCGATGCCATCGATGAGCTCAGCTGAGTTAGGGAATTGACCACCCAATATCTGATAATGGGACTTTACTACAAATTATAGGAAAGCAAATGTCATACTGACATATATTTTACTCAAAGAAGTACATGTGACAGTTGCAGTCACGGTTTCGACTGTCGCGATAGTTGTCATAGTGAAAACGCGGATTAATTGTGACTAAAGGAGCCCTTAGACGGTCAATATCGGATATATTATCCGTCTCATATATTGAAACAATTATATTGACATTTGTAACACGTGAACCACGTTCAATAATATTGCTTCTATATCATTGTTTCAATTATATTGACCGTGTAATGTGAGCTTTAGACAGATTGTATTGATGATTGACAATCTGAAGTAAAAGTTTAATCATGCTTATAGTTCTAGTACAATTTTCAAATAATTTGTCACTTTTATTTAATCAAATATTTTTAAATTTTTTAAAGTTTCAGAAATTTTTTATTTAAAAAATACTTTGAACGATCTTATATTTTGTAAACAACTAAAAAAAAACAACAACTTAAAATTACCCGTAAATTGAACTAAGGAATGTTAAGTATTTGGTTTTAACCTTTCTTAGGTTCTATTGGAGCGCAGTTGTTATTTGATTACAAGTAGTTCTACTAGGTTGTCAAGAGATAGTGCTACCTATTAGTGTGCTATTCTCAATGCTCTTGTTAGTATTTGAAAAATATTGGATTTTTCAGTGCAATAACACAAATAAACAATTCCTTTTCTCATTTTCCATCTATATTAACGATTCTATTAAATTAAAAACCTGTGACGTTATTTAAATTCTATCTTCAGACTGAACGGCGGTACAAAACAATGCTGGTTGAACAGCTGGTATCGATTCTAGAAATCAGTTTGTGAGTCAATTCCCGGCGAGACGTGTCTTACGGTCCTCTTGGGCAGTTCGTTATTTAGTAATTATTAGTTTATGTTGATGAGTGTAATAACCTGTATAAATTGAATCTTATTAAATAGATTAATTGTTTAATGCCAATTTCACTCCGGTGTAAAAATGATCTGATTTATCAAGTTAATAGAAGTACCGTTATTTGACCCATAGCCCGGCTAACGAAAATGTACTGAAAGTTTTATCTGCAGTCAGATTTATACTTTATACATACTGTGTTACAGCGTTATGAAATCACTAGGATGGATTTTGAAGCTGATATCACTTTGAAGGAATGGGCAAAAGACAAGCCACTTAGTATCCTTCAACTTGATCCTGCTGACAGAGCTGTCCTTCGAATAGCAGGTGGGTGATTCTCTTATTTATTTTGATTGTGGATAGGCTAACAGAGTTAAGAAGAGTGTTAGGAAATATACGGTCTCTGACTATATCTTAAAATCTTTTTCTGACATATGACAATTAAATCATTGTTTTTTTAAAGATTTGAGTTTATTCATGTTCTTTATTTTGATAATCTAATAAAGCTATTATCCTTGTTATGGTATGTAATACTTCATTTCTTAGTTAGTCTAATAGAAACATGTCCATTCTAAATTTTTGAAGACATGTATTCATGTTTTTTATTGTCAAAATGGAATTCGCCATCAATTGTAGATATGCATACTTGAAATAATTATGTTGCGTAAATCCTTTATATGTTTGTATTAGTGTATATGTTACATTCATTTATAGTCGTATTCTAAAGAACATTCTATCATACTTCCTAGACCTGTTTGTTTTCATCGCTGATTTTGTGTTAGTCATGCAAGCTATCACATTAATAAACTGGTTTGTCTAAGAGTTATTTTATATTGTATAATAATAATAATAGTGTGCCTTATTTCGATGACAAAATAAATTATATTATAACAATATGCCTTACTGAAGGCTAAGATAAAAAAAAAAAATGTTTGTGATATTACAGGATAATTTACACTCATTAAGCAATGGGCTATTTGCTCGTCTGCCCAGTTGGCCACTTCTACGTTTTAATTACAAATCATACTATGTAATATTACAAGATTTGCTTCCTATAACTGAAGACCAAAATTATACCCGCATATAAATATTAAATAAATTGGAAGATATAAGCATACATAAACGTAGTTCCGATTTCCTAAATACCAGATCCATATAAAATTCGAATACATACAATATAACAACAATATATCAATATAATTAATAATAAACATCAATATATAAACAATAAATATAATTAATATTAATATAATTTAAATAATAATCACACATCATCCAGTTAATAAATATTTACATAAACGTAAGGTCTGTTTATAAATGCACACATATTAATAGTTGAATTGTTTATCACTTGTTTTTTATATTTGAATGCAATGGTCGAATATTTATATAAAATGTCCCAGTCCTTGCCGTTAAAATAATCCATTATTTCAGACCTATTATGGAAAGTTTTGCCCAAATAAATATTTCGGAATTCTTATAAAACGGGGTATGTACGATGAAATGTATTGTATCTTTTATTTCTTTTAAATTGCACATAGAGCAAAATAGAATTTCAATGGGATATTGAAATTCTCTCACACTTGATTATTTTTACAATTTTTCTTTGTTAAGCATGCAGAATCTAATATTCTTGTGCATTATGTATACTATAATTAAAACGTTTATGAATCGGCCTCCTAAATATAAATTAAAAAAGAATTATATAGCTTTTCTCATATTTTATACGTTATATTCTACTTCCGTCTAGTCTAAGTTCTTTAAACTCTACTATTTAGTAGTCTGTATAACTAATTTGACTTTGTATTTATTATATAGTATATCTATAATATTGACAATGTTTAATACTCAGAAGTCATTCATTCATTTTTTAACTATATATATTTGTTATTATTATTTTTTTTTCATAAACCAGTGTTAAACATAAAGGTGGCTAGAGTTTCTCTGGTTTTCCACTATTTCACAGTTATTGTCTTAAAAATAACTAATGAAAAGGTCAATAAACTGTACAAATAATGATTATATTAAATTGCAGGTAGTAAACCGACGACCGGGCTACTACTTAATTGATGGCATTTTAACCTTTACCCTCCCCTCAATATTTTTTAAGTTTTGGTGCTTAAGCTTACAAGATGTTTTTGAATGTTCAAGTAATTGTGTGATGTGTGATTTACCACAACTAGTTAAAATCTATAATTGTTTCTGGTGTACTTTTTTTCTATTCTCTGGCCTCAGCATCACTTTTTTTCTAGTCAAATATTATTATTTTGTTTAGTATTATTGTGCGAGAAGTGTTTACAATTTACGAGAAGTGTTTACAATTTATTTTAAAAAAATAATCATAATCAATTAATGAACACATTTTTTGATTGTTTTTACATTAACAATATATAGTTGAAATTTGTTTTTTCTCTTTAGCCAATTCTTTTAATGAATTCTTGAAGGAAGTTAGTCGACTGTTCTACATATCATGGGTAATAAATATTCAGGACGCAGTCTTTTTAAAAAAAATTAAAAAAACATTGGCAAAAATAAAATTTTTTTTAAAAAAGACTGCGTCCTGAATATTTATCACCCAATTCTTTTAATTAATTATTCTTGCAGTATTGTAATATCTATGGATAAATGTAGCTATCAATCATATTTCAGGATGCTGTTGTTTTTAATGATGTCCCATATAATTATCAGATTTGTTTATTAATGCAAACGTTTATTTTTAAAATGTTTTTATTAGATCCGATGGAAGTTCTTGTATATTGTTTACCTACACCATTTAGATTCCAATTTTTTTACACTATCAGTGTATGCATAGGATACTTCTAAGATATGAAGGAGTACTAATAACATTGATTTTTTTTCTTATGGGTGGTATCATCATCAACAACTTCATTAAGAATATAATCGGAATCTTTTATTTCAGCTTTGGAAAGGTAATGAAGACCAAACTTTCTTGAAGTTTTCTATAATGTTCCAGTTTTTAACTGATTATAACATTTTAATTTATTTACCTATGACTATTACCTATTATAGCTTTAATGAAAGGTCTTGAATATTATATTACTTTTAAGGTGGCTACTGACGATCACTCCACTCCAATCAAATAGAATGTGGAAAGACTGAATGTGAAAAATCTGTGTGGAGTTTTTGGTGTAATGTTGAGCAGCTAGAATTCCATTTGCTCTAAATTCCATCATGCCACAGCAAAATTCAATTACTACAGTTCACCATGAGTGTGAGATACTGGTGGAATGAACTGCACAATTTTTTATTTAGTTTTTAGGTTGTGCTATGCTAATAGTAATGACAATGGTTTTGGTTAGAAAGAATTGTTAATATTGATTATGGTTGTCGAAAGCAGACTTAGATAAAAAGTATTTTAATTTTTTTTTTATAAATACAGTATTAAAATTTTGTTAATTTTTTTTAGTTTTTTATAAATCCAATGCATTTTAATTTTAAAAGTATTAAAATAGTTTTCAGAAAAAGTATTTATAATGCAAAATATCAAAAGTATCTTCAATTTTAATTACAAAAAACAAAATACTTACATATCATAAAGTGATGTTTTACAAGTATTTGCTTATAAAATAGATTTATTTTTGTGAGAAAAAGAGTTATGGGAATAGAAGACAGTAGATATAATTTTTCAAAAATAATCGGGTCTAAATTTTTTATTCTATTAATATTATTTCTGAACGTTTTATAATAAAAATGATGTTTTGTCAAATTAATTCATTTCCAATATTCTCTAAGGTATTACATTAATTTAATCCTTTCTTTTTCTTTGTTAAAAAATACTTCAATGAAAATATTAAAGAAAAAAAATGTACATTTCTTCTCCAACTAAACAAATGTCAGTCCACCTTTTCTTGTTTATTTAACAAAATATGCTCTTCTACTCGTTTCTATGATAAACCTCTGGAGTCCTGCACATAATTATTTTACGACTAATCAATTATATGGCCAAAATATAATTTTATTAGAAATTTAACGCAATCAACCTTAAATGGTTTTTGAGTTTGATTTTCACGAGGGTGAATTCTCCTGCAAACGATCAGCATTAATACAATACTGAAGAAGGAACCTACCTACTCAGTTTGGTGATTATATTATATTATGTATATATATCATATAATAATTTTATATTGTTTAAATTTTTAATTTTGTTGACTGTAAATGTAATATATATTTTTCCATATCATTTTAAAACGGTGGGACAAAAATTATCTATTAAATTTTAATAAAATTAAAAAAAATAAGTTGCTAATTCCACTCTGTTGACTGTTAATATGATTTCCATTATATTGTGAGATAACATTTTATAATTAATGATTGAATCATCGTATTTTTGAGTTCAGAATAATGGCCTGTTAGAGCATAAATCATTATTTATTAGTAAAAACTTAAAAAGCGTGGGTGATAGTCAGTGGAGCCCTTGAAAATTTATTTGCTTCTTGTACCCCATTAACTCCACTTAATCATTCTGTTATTTCAGTTGGAGTGATCACCAGTGGCCACCTTCAAAAAGAATATTCTACTCGAGTATTAGAATGTAGATATAATTAACTAATATGTTTTTATTTTATTTTGTTTCGCACAAAATTTCTCATAATGATAAAATATCTAGTGTCATTATACAAATTATTAAGAGATCGGACCTTTTTATGAAAGTGGTTTAAAGTTGACCAAAATATAATTTTAAAATTTAAGTTAAAAATAAGCAAAATAAAAATTAGGTTTTATATTTTATTTTATTAATTTCTCACTTTCATGATTCTAGAAAATCTTCTTCAAATTAAAATAGTTTAATATTTCTATATTGGAATTAAAAATTTAAAGAAGTGATACCTTTTGTTGGCTCTGAAGCATTTTTAATATGTCTCAACTTTTAACCAAGTATAATAATATTATTTCTATTTTAGTTTAATTTGATGAACTAAGTTCTAAATATTGGTTTACTCTTGAAGTTCCAAACGATCATAATTGATTCTCTAGCGTTGAACATATCAGGATTTTCTGTGTGTTGATTTCATGGGATATTATTTTAGTTACGAAATATATGATGATTGGTTGCAATAGGGTGTCGATTCGGCAATAATTTTACTTTTTAGTTCTGAGCATGCACAAGACCTTGTAATTTAAATGATTACTATCAAATAATGACAGTAATTAAGAACCAATTAATATTTCTTGTATACAGTGTTGAGAAGTTTACTCTGTATTATTTTTGGTCTCAAAGAATATATTACAGGCTTTTTTTTTATAAAATTCATCCATATGGTGTATGTAAATTTCTTTCAAGAGATTAATCTTATTTTATTATCTTT